AGTCATCTGCACCATCCAATCGTCAGTCTGTCTTTCCCTGTCCAAGCTCGACTCTGCCATACCTTGGTCACACCCTTCTGGGAAACATCCTGCTGCCTTCCCTGAGTTGGCGAGCTCACTTTCTCCCCTTCAGTGGTGTGTTCCTGACCCACGCCTCCGCCCTGCACCCTCCCTGGTGCTTTAGGAGAATGCTCAACAGCACAGATCTAAATCGCCAGGTCCCCGTAACTATCTGCTGGACTTCTTCAACTATTTGTCCCACGGGAGACTCCCAAATTAATATGTCCAGAAAGGACTCATTTATCCCCTAAACTAATTCTCCTGTAGGTTGGTTTGACTGAAGGATGACTCCCAGACATCAGGGGTGGGTCACACCCCAGACAGTGATGCCAATGGCTGGCAGCGTTTATCCCCCCACATCTCTAGCCCTGCCCTCTCCTCACTGTTCCTCCACCCGAGATCCTCACGTGGGCTCCATGAACACTCAACCCACCTTCTAGAACAGCCTCTTCTAGCTCCTCTCTGAGGACCAAGCTGTCCTGAGTCATTAGGGTGGTGAGGCTGCATCATGTTAGGCCCCCAAGACTGGAGGCATTTGCTGAAATAGTGTACCCTGACTTACTAAGTAGGCAATGAAATAGGAAATGTATTTCAACTTTTAGTTCCATTTCTCTCCCCAAGTGGTCAACAACTGGGGTAGGTTTGAATTTAGATATAGTTTAGCCGGATCCCTCATGCTTCCCTTCAACCATGCCAAATGGGAAAGCGTCTAGGGAGTCCAGGCCTGCTCACTAAGTGATAACTCAAAGCCAACAAGTTATGTCAGTTGCAAAAAAGTTATGAAAAATTCTGTTTCAAAGGTCAAAGTAACCCCTGAGGGTTAATTTTAAGAAAAAAAAAATCTACTTGTCTGATTGGATTGGAAACTGGAAAGAGCTGAAGGAATTCTATTTTCTTCTTGAACAAGATGACATTTCTGTCAGCTGGATAGATGTTGTCATGACTGAACTTGTCATTTTCCCATTTGCCACCCCCAGCCTTCCTCCCGAGGTGGGTATATCTGGAGGGCTAGGCAAGGTTTGTACATAAAGGAAATGCCTTAAATAGTTAAAACTTTGCACTCTACATATTTATAAATTTAAAACTTTGGGGGAAATTCTCATTTTTTACATTTTTCTAGTGGAATTGAGATGGTTTTTAGAGTCTGTTTAATCGCAGTCCCTGAGTTCAACCAAGGCTCAATCTTTCACTCCTGGGAATTCAAAGAACATCACATTTCTTAAACAGCAGCTGAGATTCTGGAGGTGCAACCTAATGACCTGGGGCTGAAGTAAAATCAACCTAAGCTACACAGGACTTCTGATTATTGAACAGGCTCCCTAAAGTTCACTACTAGAAATTTTTTGTTTGCTAATTCCAATTCTGAAAGATTTCCTTTACTAAAATACACAGCATGAGGAATGAGTTTCTAAATGGTAGCGGCCTATTTGGTAAATGATATTTGCTTTGAATACCCAATGATATCTTTATAGATGGAATTAAATTAAAATTAGGGGGAGTAGTTCTTTCATTTTTCTAAACTTGAAACACTAACCATAATCAATCATTAAGTATAGTGGAGTTTCTTTATCTACGGTTGAGAAAAATATTTTCTGTATTAAGGTTAAAATTTTAAAAACATGTAAAGACAAACTCAAGAAAGTTATACTACTAAAAAAAAAAAAAAGAAAGTTATACTACTACTAATTAACATTTACTAAGCACTTTGGCTATGTTTATTTACCTTGTTTCCACAGTTAGGATGACAACACATATATATTTAAGTGTGGTTTAACAAAAACTCTCATTCCTTTTGATGGCTGCATAATATTCCATTGTATATATATATACCACTTCTTCTTTATCCATTCATCTGTCGATGGACATCTTGGCTCTTTCCACAGTTTGGCTATTGTGGACATTGCTGCTATAAACATCGGGGTGCACGTACCCCTTTGGGTCCCTACATTTGTATCTTTGGGGTAAATACCCAGTAGTGCAATTGCTGCATTGTATGGTAGCTCTATTTTCAACTTTTTGAGGAACCTCCATACTGTTTTCCAGAGTGGCTGCACCAGCTTGCATTCCCACCAATAGTGTAGGAGGGTTCTCCTTTCTCTGCATCCCCACCAATATCTGTCATTTCCTGACTTGTTAATTTTAGCCATTCTGATTGGACTGGGCGATGGACACTGGGGAGGGTATGTGCTCTGGTAAGCGCTGTGAATTGTGCAAGACTGTTGAATCTCAGATCTGTACCTCTGAAACAAATAATGCAATATATGTTATAAAAAAAGAAGAAGAAGAAGAAGAGAGCAGGAAGGGAAGAGTGAAGGGGGGAAATCAGAGGGGGAGATGAACCATGAGAGACGATGGACTGAGGGTTCTAGAGGGGAGGGGGGTGGGGGATGGGTTAGCCTGGTGATGGGTATTAAAGAGGGCATGTACTGAATGGAGCACTGGGTGTTATACACAAACAATGAATCATGGAACACTACATCTAAAACTAATGATGTAATGTATGGGGATTAACATAACAATAAAAAAATTAAAAAAAAAAAAAAACCTCTCAACGCTGCTTGCTGCTAGGGAGGAACTGGGCCCGGCTCCATTGGCCTTAGCTTCCAAAGGCTGACTGGCTCTTTCTCTTTAAGAATTCTTGTCTTAATGCAGTTGTAGTGCACCTTCATGATATTGCTTACTTGAAAACGTTAATCCTATGTCAAGGATTTGGAGCCCAAAAGAAGTAGAGTGCACCAACTTTTATAAACTTTACATATATTTCTTGGCCTTTATACTATTTCTCTAATAGAGGTCACAAGCGGAAGGTCCTAGGATAAAAGTAACCTACAAATACGTGTGGTTGGGCCTGCGTGCTGTTGCCTTTCATATAAAAGAATTTTAATTATCCTCTAAGATTTAAAAGTTAGGGTATTTCATTTTTGATTTCCATATCCTCTTGAAAAATATGGCAAGCTCATTAACAATAGGCCCAAATTCCCACAGGGCAGCAATGAGCTCAGGGACTGGCCAGACCTTGCCACTGGCTTGCCTCTCCCTCCTCGCGGCCCCCACAGACCCAAGCCGAGGTTGGTTGCAGTCCATCATACTACTCACGCAGTGGTTTGTCTTTCATCCACCTACTTTCATCCACCTTGCGTTACTTTACCAGCCAGCTTCCTGGAGGTATTTGAGTTTGCAGCTCCTATCCTTAATCGTAAACATAATAATAGCGAACCCCTCCATAGTGCTTAGTAGGGCCAGACACTGTCCTAAGTATTTAGCATGCATTAACTCATTTAATCTTCAGAATAACCCTGGATGGTGAACACTTATTAGCATTTCCATTTTGTGGAAAAGGAAACCGAGACATCAAGAAGCCAAGAACTCACCCATGGCAACACACATTTCATCTGTAGGGGTATCTGGCTCACCGGCAGGCCCAGTCTGGAACCTGAGAACCCGATCATTGGGACTTATTTCCACATGTAGTGGAAGGCTCTTCACAACTACATCAATAGTGTCCTTTCAGTTCTGTCCATATGTCAGGAAGAGAGTGTCTAATGAGTGCTAATTATTTCTTTGAAACACCTAAGAATCAAAATTTTAGGTCCAGATTGGACCCTAGGTAGCCTTTTATTTAAGCCTGTGGCACTTGATTAGACAAGCTGCCCCTTCTGTAAAGCTCTGTTACTCTCTGTCAGAAACCGCTATTACAAAATGACACAGGGATGGTTACAAGTCCAGAGGTATTTCTGGTGCTGTGCTGATTGCCTGTGCTGATGGTACAATGGTCCCAGATTCCAGAACCTGTTTTATTACTTTTTAGAGTAAGACTTATTTTGGTATTTGCAAGCATATGAAACAAACAAAATGCTTGATAAAAATTACCATAAAGATGTATGGCAAATACCTATCTCTTATTCTACACAACTACCAACCACTAACTTCAACTTTTCATTCAAGCTAGATTCCTCATTTCATGATTATGACCAAAAAAAAAAAACAGTGCTGATCTTATCTCATATCTCAAAATCCCAGGAATGTTAAGCTATTTCACTCTGCTCAAGAATGGACTTGGAACAGTGAAAGGAGTTCTCTTCCATGGACATGACATAATCTGCAAAAACTTTACCATGGAGAGGTGAACCCTTCAAATCAGCATGTCCTTTCGGTGTTTTTCCTTCTCTTGTGATGTAGGACTTGAAAATTATGATAATCAAAGATTCGCACTTCACACATATCATTTAATTTAATCCAAATGTCAATTCAATGGTACAGGTTTATTATCTCCATATTGACAAGGATTTGAACCAAGTCCATCTGATACCTGTATTATGGTTTATTCTACCATCCCACTACCATCCCATAACACCTTCTAGATGCTGATTAAGTCACTGCTCCAGAAGGCTTCCAAGTATCCAGTGCTCTACTGGATAGGGTCTGCTCTGGAAAATCAATAGTTCTTCCAGGGCCTGAGGTTGACAGCATCACCCACCTGAGAGACACACGCAATACAAAGCCCGACAATGAACAGAAGAAATGCAAATTGCCAGCACATAATAAGTTGGAAGCACATTACGAAGCTAAATTAGTTCTTTTCAAATGGGACAGACACATGGTGACCTAATTAGGAGTCCAAAGGATTTTGGAGAGGATGAAAGGAATAATCTGAGACTCTATGCAGGAATATTCTTAAAATAGAGATGAAAATTCTCAACAGTAAGTTCTGGAAGATGTTGGAAAAGATAACTGCACCTAGTGCAAATATATTTATTTCAACTCATCACTGCTCACATTTTCTAGTCTAACAAAGCAGAACCACTGAGTTGTTTGAAACGTGAAAACCCTCTTCCTGTTATACAGCAGAGACTACATCAGGAATCTAGGTTAAAAGCAGAGTGCTCAGTCTCAGTAGAGGGCAATGCAAAAGTGCTGAACGGGAATCTGTGTGAACTTACAGGACTGTGGTCTGCTGCGGCACCTGAGGAATGTGATCCAGCATCAAGTGCATGCAGCGGACGGTGCTCTTCAAGCAAAGGCACCGGCTAGGGCAGGGTAGCACTGGCAGGCACCACACGACCAGGAGAAAGCAAATGGTCCAGCAGAGGAGTCTGGACTCCATCGCTCCACCCGCTGCTGGAAGCGAAGAAGCAGGAGCAGCAGCAGCAGCAACAGCGGTGTTGGTGGCGGCGGTGGCTGCGGTGCGGGACCTGCCGTGCAGAGGCAGGCCTGCCGTGCGGAGCGGAGCCGGGCTTGGGAGGCCCAGCTAAGCGCCGCTCCCAGGGAAAACTCAGCCTCTGACCAATCGCGGAGCAGGGAGATCACATTACAGGGCGGAGGGCGCCTGCCGCCTCTAGGGGGCGCTGGACCCCCAGGGACGAGGAGAAGCTTGTCCGAGCCAAAGCCGCTTTAGGAAACAAACCTACTCTATTTGGGCAGCATAATGCAAATAGAAACTTTTCCAAAGTTGCTTCCCCTGCACGTTATGTAAGCGCCAGCCTCTTAGCCCCTAGTTGTGCTTTTTTCTCCCCCTATCTGTCCTTTTGAAGCGCAAGTTGATTATTTATTGAATCAATGCAGAACAGCCTTTCTTTTTATCTGGCAGTATTACCAAATCCTAAAGGGCAGACAGAGTTCTAATTAGTTGATCTAGGCTCACATTTTCCTTCCCTGCTCCAAAGTATGCTTTCACAAAATGGTTTCATTTCTTCCTGTATATTCTACACCTGAAGCCCAAAGCATTTCACTCATGAGATTCAAACCAGCTACTTCCGATTTCTTCCTTTAATATTTAAAGCTGTTATGTCTACACCATGAACTCCTACACCAACATGCAGAGGAGACAAACTGATAGACAAACATATGTGTAAAGTAGAACGAGGCCGAGCCACCGCTGGGCTCAGTGGCCGCACCGTTGGCTGTAGACGCATTTTTCACCAGGTTTAACGGGCCACGGGTCACTGAGGTGAGCAGCCCTGAGGACACTGGCAAAGACAGACTCCAACAAACAGGCCCTAAACACGAGTTTTTTGGTCACTCTAGGCAGGTGTTCAGAAAAGGTTTTTGGTTTTAACCTTAAAGACTAAAATTTCCAAACAAATCTTATCCCTAAACTAGCACTTTAAAAAATGTAAAAGTAATAGAAAAATTAAAACTTGGGATGGTCCAATGTAGGCAACAATCCCAGATGACCAGACTGGGAGACAAATCTAATGATTGCAGATCTAGTTTTGTCAAACTTTATCAATCTTATGAAGGAAAATAAATTTGCCTTCTTTCCAGTAATTTTTCAGTCCCTTTACATTCTACAGTGGGTGAATAGTGCCCTCTTTTGGCAAAATGTTCAAACTTAAATATGTGGGGCTTTATTATTTTATTAAAATAGAGATCTCAAGAAAAAAATAATCTCTATGAAAAAGAATGATTTTAAAACAAACCAAGCATGCTTGACAGTTGTTCAATGTTTATTTTTTTTTTGTCTAAGTATCGAAATAAACTAAAAAAGCAAATTTCTTCCTTTAAATCCCATGCCTTACAATTACTGTGCTTTTGCCAATGTTTGTGACTTGGAGGACTTGGATGAGCAAGGCATACAAGTTTGTGCCTTGTTTTCAGTTCAAAACATAATACTAGCTTGTACTGATAGAGCATTTTTCCAGGATAGACTATACACTCTCTACTTTAGAAACCTAAGCTGCCATTAAATGAGAAAATTCTACTGATTTCCTCCCGTGAATACAGAGCTAAGAATTGCAAGCAAGGCACAGAGAACCACATGCATGACACAGCCACTATAGACCGTAGATTCTTTCCTAGAATGCCTCAGGACAACTTTCCCGCAGAAAACTATTATTATATATGTTAAGTATTAGAAGCATTTTAAAAAATGCATTGAGCTGCTAAGTTAAACATGTATACTAGAGTCCAAAAAGGAAGAGAAAATGAGAAGCTAGCAAGGTAGATAAACACTGAAGCCTGGTTCAGCTTGAGAGTACTTGCTTAACCAAGTAAAATAAAGAGATTTGGGGAGAGCAGGGTTACAGGAAGAAGAAAAAGCCTAGAGTGGAGGATCTTAACTGGAAAACCTGTATTTTCATCAAGTTCATTAAGGATGATCTAGAATTAATCCACTTTACCCCCATCCCCATCCACCCAGAGAACACAAGGAAAATTGCCTGTCTCAAACTTGCTATGGGGAGGAAGAGAATACAAATATCTCCCTGCAGATGTAATACCCCCAAATTAGCTTCTAAAATAAAAATTTTAAAAGATACACTAGGTGACCACCAACACCCCCAAAAAAGCTATAGGAATATCAAACCAAATGGACTTTGAAGTAAAGAATACAAAGGAGGTTCCCACATAATGTTAAAGGTTCAAATCACCAAGCAGACATAGGGAACCTAAAGTGTAGCATCATTGCATCAAAATATACAAAGGAAAAATTGAAAGACCTATAATGAACTGACATTCTACCATCAAAGTGAGAGATTTTGCTGAAAATCATAAGAGCATACCAAAAAAAAAGCTTACTTAAACTATATTAGATTTGAATACAATAAAAAATTTGATTCAAATGGCATTTACAGAATACTATGCTGAACAGAATATATATTTGAAACACACCAAGTCATTTATTAAAAATGACTATAAATGGGCAATAAAACAAGAAATAAGGTTACTCCTGTTCATGGCTTCTATTCAACACTGTACAGGAGGTCCCAACCAGCATATCTGGCAAAATAAAAACAAACCCAAGGAAACCCAAAGGAAACCCAAGGAAACCCAAAGGAAAAAATAAACTGTCTTTATAAAGATGATTTGGTTGTCTATTTGAAAATTTAGAACAATCATAAGTCAGTGGGATTTAAGTAATGTACAAAAATCAATAACGGAGCAAAAAATGATTTTAACAAACAATACAACAGCATTGAAAAATATAAAATATCTACACATAAATCAAAAGATGCTTGAAACAAAATTGTGTACCTTTAAGACATTAAATAAATAAATAAATGGAGAGAAGTACAATATTCATGGATTGGAGGACTCCGTATCATAAACATGTTAATTCTCACACAAACTGATCTATAAATTCAGTGATTCCAAAGGAAATCCCAAGAGGACTGTGTATATGTAGTCTAAGAAGCTGATTCTAAATTGTGTATCAAAGTCAATGGTCCAAGGATAGCCAAGAAATTCCTGAAATTTAAGTTGAAGGGACTTATCTTACTAAATCAAGAATTATTGTACCTATAGTAAATAAGGCTGTGTAGTTTTAGCACAGGGATCCATAAATTGACTAACAAAATAGAAAAGAAAACCTAGACACAAAGCACAAAGATACGAAAATTTATGAGTTAACTGCAGATCAGAGAAAGAAAATGGGACTTTTCAAAAAATGGTGTTGAAACAGTTGATCAACAAAGTAAAAAAGTATTATTTCTCACTTTACACAAAGATCAATAGCAGGTGTACTACAGACTTAAATGTGAAAGACAAAAATCATAGAACTTTTGTAAGAAAATACAGGCTAATATTTTCATGATTCTGGATTGAGGTTGTGTGAGGATGAATCTGACACAATTAAATTTGAAAATTCTAATTCAAGAAAGACACCACAAACAGAATGAGAACAGAAACCACAAACTAACGAAAGATACTTGCAATACATGTAACTGACAATGGGTCAGGCTACATAAGGAACTCTACAAGCCAACTTCTTTAAAAGAAACTATCAAATAAAACATTTCCAAAAGACTCTAATGGGAACTCTACAGAAAGGAAACCTAAAACCAAGAAACACTCAAAAATGTACAAAACCTCCTTAATAAGCAACAAAGCCTCTATAACACTTCACAATACTAAATAGGCAAAATCGCTATCAAATGTAGGTGAGGTTATGGAATAACTGGAACGTTTAAACACTATAGGAACGAACATAATGTTACACTATTTGGGGGAAATAAATTTGCACCACCTAGTGAAAGTGAGTAGGAACATATTCTATGATCCAGTAACTCTACTCCTAGATGTACACTCTATGAAGACTCTTGCACACATACAGTCACAAGACCTGTTGAAGAATGTTGACGAGCAAACTATTTGATGTAACAACAGATGTCCATCAACAGTATAATTAAACCGAGTTGCGGATGTAACTTAACTATATACAACATGGAACAATCTCAGAAAGGCAACCTGGAGTGAAAAAGTAACCTGCAGAATAGAGAGTATGATTCCACTTATATAAAGTTAAGTATGTATGAAGCCACATGATACACTGTTTAGAGATACAAACATATGTGCTAAAGCTATAGCAAAAGGCAAGGTTGCAATAAACACAAAAGGAACACCCCAGAGAGGAATTAAGAGGAGATTAGGAAGGGGCACACAAGTCATGGTAATGCCAGGAGTCAAATCTAGTAGTAGGTACACACGGGTACATACAGGTACACTGAATTATTCCTTGTGTTTTGCATATATCTTCTAAATATCCTTCATCTATACTGAATATAAAAACAAATTTAAAAAACAAAACCTACACTGCTTTAGAGGTGGCAACAGTCAAAAGGAAATGAGATGTCCAATTATGGACAACTGTATGTAACACTTCAAGCATATATCCATAGGTGTATTAAGATTTTCTAAATTAAAAAGAAGAGAAAAAGAAAGCCAGGCCACTGGAGAACAAAATTTAATTATATGCAACTGTTTATTTAAAATAGTTTTCCAAGCCTTCCCATGATTTCACAGGTATTGCTTCACTTTTATCCTCTCCAACAGCTAGAAACCAACACTTAACATTTTTTGTATTTTAACCACTATGTGACATTTTTCTTTACTAAGACTAGAACCAAATGTGTCAACCAATAAGAGATGTAGATTTAAATTATCTTCTTGGTAGTAATGGTGCCGCTGAAGGTTTCTTGGATTTATCAGATGCCGGACGCTATTTCAAGCCATTTCCATCTAGCTGTCTGACTTAGGAAAATCATGCTATCTCCCCAGCCCTACTTTCTCTCTGTAAAATAAAATAAAATAAAAACTAGATTAGATTATTTCTATTGTTTTATCTGGCCACTAAAATCCCATGAATATATTCATCATTTTCAATTAATTTTACTTAACCTTTATTTGCTACTTTTCCGCCTATAAAACATAATTGACCATCCTCAAGTAACCGTGAATTCATTAAAAAATAAACACAAACACAAAATATTCTTAATCATTCTAATATATTCCCATTAATAGATAAAAGGGCTTTTC